AGAGTAAAGAGGATCAGAAGTCCAGGGTAGAGACACTCATTATAATTTTAAATATGGTGGTCAGGTAGGCCTCATTGAGAAGCTGACATGAACAGTCACTTAAAGAGAGAACTGACCACGTTGGCATCTGGGGGAAGAGCCATTGCAAAGACCCTGAGGTGACAGCATGCCAGCAAGTTGGAGAACCAGCAGGGAGGCCAGTGTGGAAGGAAGGCTGGGAGAGGGAGGGTATGAGGTCCTAGAGGAAAGATGGTGGAACCCATCAGGTAGGGCCTTTTAGGCCGTTATTATTCATGTATTGTGTGCCAGGGACTGTGCCATTCCTTGTCCTACTTAATTCTCTCCACTATCTTAGGAGCGTGGTATTATTAACTTGCTGATTTTGCAAATGAGAAAACTGAGCTTAGAAGGTTAAGTCACTTACTGAAGTCCCATTGCTGGTAATTGGTGGAACTGCACTTCCTTTCTTCCCCCTGAGACCCAGAGTTGTCACTCCTGACCTCTGCCTCCTCTCCTGGGGGCTGGACTAGATCTTCTAGGCCAGGAATTAGTGAGCTGCAGTGCCCTGGATAGTCTGGCCCTCTGCTTGTTTTTGTTTGGTTTGTCTGCTTTAAGTTGAGGTTAAAAAAAAAAAACACCTATAAGATTTACCATCTTAATCATTTTGAGGTCAGTGGTGTTTATATTCACATTACTGTGAAACTGATCTCCAGAACTTTTCATCTTGCAAATGTGAAACTCTGTACCTGTTAAACAACAACTCCCTTTCCCCTACTCCCACCATTCTACATTTTGTTTTCATGAATATGACTACTTAATATACACTGAATCATGCAGTATTTGTCTTTTTATAAGTGGCTTGTTCTTCTTAGTATGATGTCCTCAGGGTTTATTCATGTTGTAGCATGTGACAGGATTTCCTTCCTTTTAAAGGCAGAATAGTATTTCCTTTTATGGATATACCACATTTTGGTTCTCTGCCTGTTTTTTAAATAAAGTTTTATCAGAACACAGATATGTCCAATCATTTCCGTATTGCATGTGGCTGTTTTCTATAGCCATAGAGTTGAGTAGTTGCAAAAGTGACTGTGTGACCCATAAGCTTACTACAGAAAGTGTTTGCTGAACCCTGTTCTACTGGGGAAACTCTGAAGGATTAAGAGAAGTGATGTGGAGGCTGTATTAGAAGGAGGAAGGCAAGAGGCAGGAAGACCTTGCTGGCTCTGTAGATGGACACTGACTTGGACATGGGGCTTGCCCTCAAGAAGCTTATAGTCTATTTGAGGGAAAATGTTTACGAAGTTAACTTGTTTAGTGATGCTTTAGATATTCAGGGATGGGAGAGATCCCAAAGGACTGAGTCTTCAGGAAAGACTTCGCGGAGGATTGGGGTTTGGGATGGGATGGATCGGATCGCTGCGGGTGTGGAGGAGTGCATCAGCCTTCTCAGCGTGCCTTAACAGATGAG